ACCTATTCACCGTCATTTCTAGTCTACTTTTCATCTTCAAACGTGTATTGACCTTGCAAATATCCACAATTTGTCGGCAACTTTAAGTGGACTTTTGGCTGGATTTAGAGAAGGCATTCCAATTTGCCTCACATTTTCAGTGCGAGATTTATCGATTGACATCTGGTCAATAGATTCAAAGAATCTCAACCACCTTGGAAACATCTGAGGCAGAGGGATTGCACACATGCTATAACATTCAACTTCTGTTAAATTAAGTGCATCCCATTTTGAAACCAAGGTATTTCATTATTCGATATAAAACGATACACGTGTAGAAAAAGTGCTCTAACTTGTTTGTTTCTCTTCATTTTTCCTTATTACTTATTTGTATGCTAGTTAATATGCATCTTCATGCATTCAATAATCGTTAAATATGGGGTCTGCGATAGACTGAGTCAGAGTTCTATAAAATTTTCAGAATAAATGAGTAATTGTACACATTTTGTGGCCCTTCCTTACACACGCCAATTATCTACTTATGAGGATGTCAGTAAAGGATTGCATTGATAAAATTACGCACATTCAACTCAATTGGTTATAGGAGATAAATAAAGCTGTGGTGTATGTTAGAACTTAATCACAAGCAAATGATTATCATTTTAGTCGCTGCATATTTGCTGCAAATAAATGTAGTCTTTGGAAGTTGGAGGTCAGATTTACCCGATTCAACTTGTTCCAGAATCGTGGCAACATCGTATGGGCAAACAGAACCTCTAATATATGTTGCCAAAGTCGACAAGGTAAGTGAGAATACAACGAAATGTGCTAATTACCTGTTTCAGCCTTTCTATGGCGTCGTGAATGGTGAGGAACAACACATTTCGATACGTGATGACAGTTTCTATATGGAGGATCTAATAGACGGAGCACCCTGTTATTGCCAACCCGGTAATTGTTTTCTATGCGAATTTTTTAATCATAATCTCAATTTCTCAATTAGATTACTTAAATATAACAATTAATGATGCCACAATATTCGAGGAACTACGTATTCATTAGCCCTTTAGTTGAATTCAGGCTTCACAGATGGGAAGGAACATCAAAGTGAAATNCAACATTTTATCGGATTACTACGGTTGGTAAAGTCTGACTGACTCAGAAATCTCTATNGAAAGGGGGGGGGGGGGGGGACAGAAGAGTGTTTCTAAGATGTAAAAGAGACAGACACAAAGTTAGAAAAAGGTGAGGTGAGTACTGTGTCAAAGATAAATAGGTGAGTTAATGCCAAATTGCCCACAAAGATCTTTTCTCGTTTCAATCACCTGAGTTGTGATTACACTGAATCATATGGCTATTCATTTTCCGTATTTGTTAGAATAATTTTGTTTTAATGCTATTTTAATGCTCTTTTTATGTCACTTCGCGCATGTTCGTTGGACGAGGTTTCTCATCACTTCACTCGTAGGCTAAAATCGCTCTTAATGCGCCTCAGTTTCTTGTGAAAGATACTTTTAATGAATCAATAATATGAGGACTTTAATGTGACATAAGTGTAACAAGTGATTCTTTATGCGTTAGAATATTTCAAGGTTTCATTACGCCTTACTACAAAGGGCATTCATTTGGTTTAAGATTCTCGGCAAAAGACACCAATACTGATGAGATGTGATAGATAGCCTAAAATGAAAATGAGAATTCGCCTGGAGTTGTCAACCGTTAAAGCTGTCAAACGTGCCTTCCAATTCTATCTAATGTTTTAATGAGAATGAAAGTCAGTTGAAGGGGTGCATTCAAAAACCCCGGTGATAAAGTGCATAAAGATGTTTATTTTTCCGAAGCATATGCCAACTGTCAAGCAATGCCATTTTTGACCAGATGTTTCTTTCATGAATGATTTCGACAGTTAAAAACGGTTATGCAACTTGTTGATTAGATGAAGACGACAATGCGAGTGTTGACGTTGGCAACAAGCTTATCGTTCCAATTGAGTAGATTTCTNTTCAGTAAGTATATTGCGGATAGGGGTGTGCGATGGACTTACCTCAATTTCTCAATTAGATTACTTAAATATAACAATTAATGATGCCACAATGTTCGAGTAACTAAGTATTCATTAGCCCTTTAGTTGACTTCAGGCTTCACAGATGGGAAGGAACATCAAAGTGAAATAGGTCGAGATGGGAGGGGGGGCAGAAGAGTGTTTCTAAGATGTAAAAGAGACAGACACAAAGTTAGAAAAAGGTGAGGTGAGTACTGTGTCAAAGATAAGTTAAAGATCTTTTCTCGTTTCAACTACCTGAGTTGTGATTACACTGAAACATTTATTTATTTATATAAAATGGTAGGCGTTCTGATAGTTATCATTAGCCCTTTAGTTGACTTCTTGCTTCACAGAGTGGAGGAGGAACATCAAAGTGAGAAGAATTCAGGAGGAAGAATAGAAGGGTTTTCAAAGATGGATAAGAAAAAGACACAAAGGCTCAGAAAGGGTAAGATGAGTAGTGGTAGGGGGTCGAATATGACATACAGTGGGGTCATGGTAGTTTGAAGTCAGAAGTCAACTGCCGGTTAATAGACTTTTTTGTCGAATGAGTATACGTTGCCCAGGGTGCATCACGTGGAGGTAAGTCTATCGCACACCCCTTACACTGAAACATAAAACTATTCATTTTCAGTATTTGTAAGAATGATTTTGTTTCAATATTATTCAATGCTCTTTTATGAGACTTTGCGCATGTTTACTAAACGAGGTTTCTCACTACTTCACTCATAGGCTAAAATTGCTCTTAATGTACCCGGGATCAACGTTTGTTTCTTCAATCTCGTTGCACTAATTGGTAGATAATGCCAATGTGGTGTGAGACATTTGGCATCTTATTGTTTGACAAATAACATGATTTGCAAGTGAGTCTTTATGCCTTCGATTATTTCAAGGTTTCATTGCGCCTTACTACAAAGGACATTCATTTGGTTTAAGATTCTCGGCAAAAGACACCAATACTGATGAGATGTGATAGATAGCCTAAAATGAAAATGAGAATTCGCCTGGAGTTGTCAACCGTTAAAGCTGTCAAACGTGCCTTCCAATTCTATCTAATGTTTTAATGAGAATGAAAGTCAGTTGAAGGGGTGCATTCAAAAACCCCGGTGATAAAGTGCATAAAGATGTTTATTTTTCCGAAGCATATGCCAACTGTCAAGCAATGCCANCAACTTGTTGATTAGATGAAGACGACAATGCGAGTGTTGACGTTGGCAACAAGCTTATCGTTCCAATTGAGTAGATTTCTGAAAAACCAATATTGGCTGCTGTAGGATGAATTGACGTTTTCGCAGCATTTTGGCACTTGGAGTATTAAGTGTGAAGTCAAGATACTCTTTTCTTACTTCTTTATTGCTCACACTCAAGGAAGCGTTGTGATCAACACTAATATTTTTTTAAATGAAAAAATTAATTGTCAATCGAATGCCTTTTCCAACATCTGTGGCACTTCCTTAAACACGAAAATTATCTACTTATGAAGTTGTCATTAAAGGATTGCACTGCTCAATTTAAGCGCATTTAACTCAATTGGTCATAGGAGATATATAAAGCTGTGGTGTATGTTAGAACTTAATTACAAGCAAATGATTATCATTTTATTCGCTGCATATTTGCTGCAAGTAAATGTTGTATTTGGATGTGGGAGGTCAGATTTACCCGATTCAACTTGTTCCAGAATCGTGGCAACATCGTATGGGCAAACAGAACCTCTAATATTTGTTGCCAAAGTCGACAAGGTAAGTGAGAATACAACAATATGTGCTAATTACCTGTTTCAGCCTCTCTATGGCGTCGTGAATGGTGAGGAACAATACATTTCGATACGTGATGACATTTGCTATATGCGAGGTTCAATAGTCGGAGCACCCTGTGCCAGACATTCTGGTTGTTGTTTCTATAGAGAGTATTTTACGTCACTAACCTCCATTTCGCAATTAGATCACTTAAATATAACGCTTAATGATGGCACAATATTTGAGGAACTACGTATTTACGGAAAAGTTTACTTGTGTAATGCCAAATTTGTTCCAAATTGCGAATTCAAACCCGTTCAAGCACGATAGATGTGTTTGGAAACTAAATGCGCCACCAAATAGCAAATTCTATTAATAAATTATTACCATAATTGTATGTTGATCGTTTTAGGAAACCCAATATTGAGAGCATCATTTCCTTTTGCTAGATTTGTGGAAGGAAATAGGTCTGTCAAGCTTAATTTTTCAATTAAAGGAATATCCAACTCCATCTCGGTAACATTTCACTTCACTTGTAATAAATGCATTATTATTTTACTTCATTGAAATGAAACTATAATACTCAATAGTTCCATCAAGTTGTGTATGAAACAGAAGCACATTTACTGTAATTTAATAGCACAAACATTGCAGATTTTTTTCATGTAGAGCTATTTGAGGAAGCCTTACGAGACGTTGTGTGCATGGAAGGGAGGTATTGTCAACACGGTACTGTCCAAAAACTATTGTGGTAGGTTAATGGTTGATTTCATTCAATGCGAGCCATAACTTAACTAACTTCTCTATAAATTATTTTCGCAGGAAATTTTACAGTGAATGCTGACAAAGATCAGATGGACTACACGTTTGTGTATGAACGAGAAGAAATGGAATCTGTTACGAATTTTGAATTTATAACAACAACATCAATTATAACAATTACTGTATATTGGGAGAATTGGGGTATTTATATAGTCAAATGCAAATCTAAATATATTTAAATTCAAATTCTCAAATCAAAACATTTTCTCTTTAGGTCAGTCACCTGATGTAATTGAGTGCGAAAGTTAGTTCCCATCAAATAATTTCAATTCTTTTGATGTTGTCTAAGATTGTATTTGCTAGTCGGTTATTTATTTCAGTTTTAATTATTAAAACTCAAATGTTAACTTTTAAATGCAAGTGACAGAGACTTCATCATGACAAAATTTAATAGGACATTATCCTCGTTTATTTTATAAATGTTTTCTTGGTCATTTAAATCGAATGATCATCAAAGGTAAGTGATTTGAATAACACACACATATTATACATTTAGAAGAAGGTATTTAAATAAAAAAATTTTGTTTTGTTTGTTAAATAAAACAAGGATTAAATGTCTTTGTAATAATCTTTTAAAAATAGCACCAACAATGAAACAAGTATGTTGTGAACAAGAATATATGCGATTAATTGAAGGGACAACTATACGTCAATCTGCTTAAACTAATAATATATATTTAATCAAAATTTAATTGCGAAATCGTGTTTATGGGTAGGAATACGTTTAAAACGGGTTTGTAATATATATAAATATACATAAATAATTAATTAAAGGCTACCTATTAGTTATATTAGTTGTTTTATATAATTAATCAATAAAGATTTGATGGTTGTGTAATAATCGTGTGAAAAATAACCGTAGAAATGAATGGAATGCAAGGTAAATAGGAGATACCTCTTAATGTTCTCTAATTTTAACTGCATGAATCGATATCAGTTCAATAATCAATAAATAATCAGCATTGCATATTGAATTGTGATTCAATTAGTATTCGCTTGGGTAGAAACCGTTTTATTTGCAGACAAGACAAAGCAAATGAAAAGCTGTCGTTAGTCATTTTAAATCAACTGAAATTTGAAGAAATAGCTATTGAGAATTTATTATTTAGTTTGCAATTAGCGAAGCTAAAATAGTAGTTTTTAGAGTTCTTTCCTATTTAAATGTCAAAATTCGTGGAGTTCAAGAGAATAAGCCAGGAACAACATTATTGGAAATATTGGGATGTCTGAGAATCGAAAAATATATTTGAATCTTATTAATTTCGAAGGTATGTAACTGCTGAAAAAGACCAGATGTATGAGAATAGATATTTGAATTTAATTCGAATTAATCCTGATCTTGCAGAGATTGAAGAGGAGACAACAAAGAGTAGTGGTAAGTCATTGTCGAAAGTATTGGTTTGTTGGAGATTCGAGAAGTGGATGTTAATCCTATAATTCATGATGTTGCAGAAGTTGAAGAGGAGACAACACCAATCAAGGGTAAGTAATTGTAGGAGAATGATGAGATGTAGGTGAGAGGAGATATGAATTCTAATGGAATAATATTGATCTTGCAGAAATGGAAGAGGAGACAACAACAAGTAGTGGTAAGTCATTGTCGAAAATGTTGGGATGTAGGAGAATCGAAAAATATATTTGAATTTAATTTATTTCGATTTCCCAGAAGTTGAAGAGGTGACAACACCAATCAAGGGTAAGTAACTGTAGGAGAATGATCGGTTGTAGGTGAAAGGAGATATGAATTCTAATTGAATTAACTTTGATCTTGCAGAAATTGAAGAGATGACATCAAAAAGCAAAGGTAAGGATGAATGTGAAATGACAGTTTTCGGCACAGTTACTCACTAGTTGCTTTTAATATTTTTAAGGTTTATTTGTCGTTACTAATTCACTGTAATGAATTGCAATTTGGAATGATTAATTCATCATATTTAATTGCAGTCAATTGAAAAAAAATGCGATTTATTCCATTTATGCCATGTTAACTCTAATTTTATTATATAATGCCCAATAGGTTGTACAATTGGATACATATACGCAGGCAAGTTATTTCATTTTAATTAACATTTGCAATTGTTCTCGACTTTCATTTTCAAAAATTCAATGGAAATTGGTTTGCCTTCATTTAGTTGTTGCTGTTGGAATCTCTCACTGGATTTTCCAATGAATTTTGCAAAACAGGAAATGAATGAAACATTGCAGTTTACAGTAGCAAATTTTAAACTAAAAATATTATGAAGTCATTTGTTAAATTATTTAAATGAAAATGAATTTTATCATGTGAAAATAAAAGATCAGAGAAAATTGAATTCAAAATCACTACGGCTTACTGAGTTATATATTTTTTCACATTTCAAAATCTTGAGTTCGTAATAAAATTGTAAATTGTTACAAAGAATATATGGAGGTGTATCGGATCGCTAGACTAATATAGCCTGATAGACTTAGAAATCTCTGTGACAGATTTTTCTACATCTAGTTGGACTTCCAGATCTAGCTAAGCCATATCCAGGGACACGTCTAGTTGGCAAATTTATCTTGGTAAATGCAAACAGTTATCAAATTAAGCCAGCACGCAACACCTTTAGTCAGTAAGTATAATGTGGGTAAAGTGTACACGCAGGGAGTTTAGTCATAAACGGAATGGCGTAATTACCTGATATTGATGTTAGCAAGATTGTGAAATAATTTTATTAATGAATTTGCATTGACCATGTATTTACCTCATGGGTTGTGCGATAGACTTACCTTCACATGGTGCACCCTGGGCAGCGTATACTCATACGGCAAAAAAGTCTATTAACCGACAGTTTTCTACTAGCTTCAAACTACCATGACCTCCACAGTACTCACCTCACCATTTTACTACTTTTGTGTCAGCTTATTTTACATCTTTGAAACACCCTTCTGTTCCCCCCCCCCCTGCTCTCGACTTTTTGTCCCTTTGATGTTCCTCCTCCTCTCTGTGAAACCCAAAGTCAGCTAAAGAGCTAATGATAACTATCATAGCGCCTTCCATTTGTAATATGCCTTTGCTTCAGCATTAGTGTACAAACCCTCAGAAGGCTTAGGAAACAGTTGAGTAATTATGGTAACAGTAGAAGGAAACACTTTCTTTGAGGTGTCAAAATTCCCTTTTGACCGATGTGTCAAAGATAAGTAGGNATTGGTGTGTGGGAGATTCGAGAAGTGGATGTTAATCCTATAATTAAAAAATTGTGATTTATTCTATTTATGCCATGTTAACTCTAATTTTATTATATAATGCCCAATAGGTTGTGTAATTGGATACATATACGCAGGCAAGTTATTTCATTTTAAGTAACATTTGCAATTGTTCTCGACTTTCATTTTCAAAAATTCAATGGAAATTGGTTTGCCTTCATTTAGTTGTTGCTGTTGGAATCTCTCAGTGGATTTTCCAATGAATTTTGCAAAACAGTAAATGAATGAAACATTTCATTTTTCTGTTGCAGATGTTAAACTAAAAAAATTCTGAAGTCATTTGTTAAATTATTTAAATGAAAATGAATTTTATCATATGAAAATAAAAGATCAGAGAAAATTGAATTCAAAATCACTACGGCTTACTGAGTTATATATTTTTTCACATATCAAAATCTTGAGTTCGTAATAAAATTCTAAATTGCTACAAAGATTATATGGAGGTGTATCGGATCGCTGCACTAATATAGCCTGATAGACTTAGAAATTTCTGTAACCGATTTTTCTACATCTAGTTGGACTTCCAGATCTAGCTAAGCTAAATCCCAGTTATTAAGGAAACAGATGTATAGCCAGGGACACGTCTTGTTGGCAAATCGATCTTGGTAAATGCAAACAATTATCAAATTAAGCCAGCACGCAACACGTTTAGTCAGCAAGTATAATGTGGGTAAAGTATACACGCAGGGAGTTTAGTCAGAAAGAGAATGGCGGAATTGCCTGATGTTGCTGTTAGCAAGATTGTGAAATAATTTTATTAATGAATTTGCATTGACCATGTATTTACCTCATGGGTTGTGCGATAGACTTACCTTCACATGGTGCACCCTGGGCAGCGTATACTCATACGGCAAAAAAGTCTATTAACCGACAGTTTTCTACTAGCTTCAAACTACCATGACCTCCACAGTACTCACCTCACCATTTTACTACTTTTGTGTCAGCTTATTTTACATCTTTGAAACACCCTTCTGTTCCCCCCCCCTGCTCTCGACTTTTTGTCACTTTGATGTTCCTCCTCCTCTCTGTGAAACCCAAAGTCAGCTAAAGAGCTAATGATAGCTATCAAAGCACATTTCATTTGTAATATGCCTTTGCTTCAGCATTAATGTACAAACCCTCAGAAGGCTTAGGAAACAGTTGAGTAATTATGGTAACAGTAGAAGGAAACACTTTCTTTGAGGTGTCAAAATTCCCTTTTGACCGATGTGTCAAAGATAAGTAGGTTTGTTAATTCAAAATTCCCCACAAAGTTCTCCTCTCGTTTCAACCACCTGAGTTGTGATTACACTGAATCATAAGACTATTCATTTTCAGTATTTGTGAGAATAATTTTGTTTTAATATTATTTCAATACTCTTTTTATGAGACTTTGCGCATGTTTGCTAAACAAGGTTTCTCATTTTTTTTTCTCGTAGGCTCTTAATGCACTTCAATTTCTTGTGAAAGACACTATTGATGAATCAATAATATGAAGACTTTAATGAGACATCGATTGTCGGGTGCGATGGATGTAAGTTGAAATAGGCAAGTTAACTATGGCCATCAATCTGAAGAATTGGTCATTGAGAATCTTGTCTGATTGCGCCCTGAAGGTTACAAGGTAAAAATGAATCAAGCGAAAATGGATGCTTGAAATTGAAATGAATGAATGGCAAGCATTCACTTTTACATGAATTGCAATTCTGGCTTAATTATTTCAATTTAAGACCACTATTATATTAAGCATTTATAATGGCCATCTATTTCTTGATTAATCATTCACGGGATCAACGTTTGTTTCTTCAATCTCGTTGCACTAATTGGTAGATAATGCCAATGTGTGTGAGACATTTGGCATCTCATTGTTTGACAAATAACATGATTTGCAAGTGAGTCTTTATGCCTTCGATTATTTCAAGGTTTCATTGCGCCTTACTACAAAGGGCATTCATTTGGTTTAAGATTCTCGGCAAAAGACACCAATACTGATGAGATGTGGTAGAGAGCCTAAAATGAAAATGAGAATTCGCCTGGAGTTGTCAACCGTTAAAGCTGTCAAACGTGCCTTCCAATTCTATCTAATGTTTTAATGAGAATGAAAGTCAGTTGAAGGGGTGCATTCAAAAACCCCGGTGATAAAGTGCATAAAGATGTTTATTTTTCCGAAGCATATGCCAACTGTCAAGCAATGCCATTTTTGACCAGATGTTTCTTTCATGAATGATTTCGACAGTTAAAAACGGTTATGCAACTTGTTGATTAGATGAAGACGACAATGCGAGTGTTGACGTTGGCAACAAGCTTATCGTTCCAATTGAGTAGATTTCTGAAAAACCAATATTGGCTGCTGTAGGATGAATTGACGTTTTCGCNCCCTGCTCTCGACTTTTTGTCCCTTTGATGTTCCTCCTCCTCTCTGTGAAACCCAAAGTCAGCTAAAGAGCTAATGATAACTATCATAGCGCCTTCCATTTGTAATATGCCTTTGCTTCAGCATTAGTGTACAAACCCTCAGAAGGCTTAGGAAACAGTTGAGTAATTATGGTAACAGTAGAAGGAAACACTTTCTTTGAGGTGTCAAAATTCCCTTTTGACCGATGTGTCAAAGATAAGTAGGCCTGTTAATTCAAAATTCCCCACAAAGTTCTCCTCTCGTATCAACCACCTGAGTTGTGATTACACTCAAACATTTATTTTTTATCATATTTTATTTTATTTTTATCATAAGACTATTCATTTTTAGTATTTGTGAGAATAATTTTGTTTTAATGCTCTTTTATGTCACTTTGGGCATGTTTGATGAACGAGGTTTCTCATTACTTCACTCGTAGGTTGAAATTGCTCTTAATAGAAATCAGTTTCTTGTGAAGGCCACTATTATTAAAGCGGCTTTAATCAACAATCTCCCAATTGTTGGTAACTAAATCTTTAAATGCTAGATCTAATCACTAACAAATTTATGAAGCTTATTGTAGACTTTTTGGTCTTAATGTTTGAGCGGAACGATGACTTTGCGAATCACACATGAGATGGTTATTTTGGATGTAATATTAGAAATATTTTGCATTTCTCTGTTAAATTGAGTTCAAGCCATGTTCTGACTAATATTTTTGAGAGAAAATCGAATTTGGCATATATGCTCTCAAATTTGTTGCATTTTCCATTTCACAATGTCAAATTAAAATTAATAAAATTCAGTTCGATCGCGAAATATTTTGACGATTCAACGCGATGCTGTTAATTGTGTAGGTCCGGAACAGTCACGACGAGACTTATCATCAAATCATTTTGTTGTTAAATTTACAACAACTTGCCCGTAGCTTTCAACTGATTTATTTTCTCATTCTGAAAAGAAAATTTAATTGAAAGTCTTCTGTTACCTTTTTAAATCGATTAATTAATAAGCTTCATGGCATGTTTGCAAAATTACAGCCATTGTCTTCTAAAAATGGCACGTGAGAGGTTGTCATTTCTGGCACAATAACTCAATCATTATTACCTGCAGTTAATGCTTTCGGGTTTCTAAAGGCTACTTAGTTTTCATTTTAATGCATAATCATTGGGTGTTCATTAAAAGTCCCAATACTTAAATTTTATTAAGTAGCATCACATTAGTGGATTAAAAGCATCACAAGCTGCTTTCGAGCAAATTGCATTTTTAAATCTCCAAGTTGTAGGCGAACATAAGTAATTTGTTTTGAAGGATTGCAGCGCTTTTGAATTAGTTTTTTCCAGAGTATTCAAGAGAGAGAGAATGTGGTAATATTTCAGTAGAAACACTTCAAAATATTCTTCTTATCGACTGACTATACCTTTTTTAACACAGGCTGATATTCATTATATTAAATGATGTAGTAAATTTCAAGAGGGAATTTTATATTATATTAATTGGTCAAATGGGGTGCGCGATAGACTTACCTCCACGTGGTGCACCCTGGACAACGTATTTTCGTACGGCAAAAAAGTCTATCACTCGGCATTTAAATTGACTTCGATTTATTATGATTAGCTTGAAAAAAGGCTATGAGAAAAACCGCTCTCGTCAGAGCGAATCACAACGTCTTCAGATCCTCCAGTGGAATGCTGGAAGGATGTCACAGGACAAGAAGATTAAAGTACAGAAAATCCTACAAACCTATGATGTAGACATTTTCACAATTATGGAAGCAAACATTTCGGATGACAAACTGAAGTACTTCCAATTCCCAGGTTATACCCTGTACCTTCTACCTAAATACCGGCAAGTTGCAAGTGGAATTCTAACTAGAGTAAAAGAAGGCCTCATCTTACACTACGATCTAATCAAGAGTATGGGTTCGACTTAAGACATATGTGAAATAATCAGATTAAATGCTTTGAAGACAAGACATATGTGAAATAATCAGATTAAATGTTTGGAAATATCACTTCAAGGTATATGCAGTCTATAATCCACCCCAGAATCGTTCAAGGTGCAGTCTATAATCCACCCCAGAATTGTCCAAAATTTGACAGCAGTCTATAATCCACCCCAGAATAGTCCCAACTTTGATTCTTCCGAACATCTCACACAAAACCATAGTATTAGGAGTCAACGCCCATTCCACCAGATGGGGCTACAAGAATACAAACATAACTGGAAAGGAAATTAAGGGCTACAAGGATACAAACATAGCTGGAAAGGAAATTGAAACATGCTAAACCATGCTAAAAAGCAACATTCTGGAACTTATTTATAGCAATGAATTGAAGACATGCTAAACAGCAACCCTCTGGAACTTATTTACAGCAATGAGGATCCGGCTACATATTTGCACTACAATTGAACCAGAACAACTACTGACTTACTCCTGGCTTCAAGTGACATCAGTGAGCATACACGCCGCAAAATAATTGCCGATCCTGGATCTGGTCACAAACCAGTCATTGCTGGTATTAACATCGACAGCAAAAGCATGACAAGGAAAGTGCCAACTAAGCTATCATGGAACTTCAAGAAGACTGACTGGTCTTGATTCACTAACCTTTTAGACAATGAACTTCCCCTCAACTTCAACCAACATCCTGAAAATCTTTGCACTGCTATCACAATTATTATGATCGGATGTGCAAAGAAATTTCTTCTCCGAGGCAAGACTAAACACTATCGAGTGTTTTGGTCTAGACACCTTGAGGAACTGAAAAGAAAGCGGGACGCCATTCGCAACACTGCTGATCAGACTGGAAGAACGGAAGACGTACAAGCTTGGAGACGACAATCAGCTGTCCTAAGGCAAGCCATCTTACAAGCTAAACGCACTTCTTTCGACAAGTTCATCTCAAATATCAACTATCAATGTGTTAGCCAACGCACTTTTAAATTACAGAGAAACCTACACAACAACAGAGAAAGACCCAAGAAAGAACCAATACGCTTAACCAGCAAATTGCTTACCACCGACACCGAAATAGCTAACTGCTTTGCGAGGTTCTATTCCCACAAGCAAAAGAAAAACACATTTGTCACAAAATCTTCAAGAGATTTAAAGCTACAAGTAAGACAGTTTTTTGAAAGTAAGGAAGACGCAACACCAAATAACGTACTTACTGAACCATTCCGACCTTGCCAACAGAATGCTGCGATAAAACAGCTCAAGTGCAAGAAGTCTCTTTGCGAAGACGAAGCTCAAGTGCAAGAAGTCTCTTTGCGAAGACGATATTCATCCAGAATTTTTAATTAGAATGGGACCAAAAGCCAAGGAAACTATGCTGACGCTTTTCAACAAAATCTGGAAGACCAGTCACGTACCTAACCAATGGAATGTGGCCATAGTAATACCAGTACTAAAAAAATGCAAAGACCATAGCAACTTTGACAACTATAGGCCTATCTTCCTTAGAAGCGTGCTGGCGTGCTGGATAAACTTATGGAAAGAATGGTTAACAAGAGGCTCACCTATAGACCTTTCTCCCTCACAAGCCTGCTGGCTTAATCTATGAAAAGACTGGTTTACAGGAGGCTGACCTGGTTTCTTGAGACCAACAATATTCTTAGGAGTGAACAAGCAGGATTATTAGGAGTGAACAAGCAGGTTTGTTCCTTGAGACCAACAATATTATTATCAATGAACAAGCAGTTTTTAGGTCATCAACAAGTAGCCACTTTCTCCCAACAGCCCTTGATGCAAGAAATACTCTTACGGCTGTTTTCGTCGGTTTCAAATCAGCATATGACTTAGTATGGAAAGAGAAGCTAATTCGAAAATTGGTGCAAGAAATACCCTTGCGGCTGTTTTCGTCGATTTCAAACGCATATGACATAGTATGGAAAGAGAAGCTAATTCTAAAATTGGTTGGGATTAAGCATAACATGCTAAACTGGATAAAAGCATTCATTTTACAAAGCATAACATGCCAAATTAAAAATTGCAAAGATTAGTATTAAGCATAACCTGCTAAATTGGATAAAAGCATTCATTAGACAAAGATCATGTAAAGTCAGATATGAAAATGCTCTTTCAAAATTCAATCTTTAATTCAGATACGGAAATGCTCTATCAAAATCCAATCTTTTGCCTGGCCTTAAATGCTCTATCAAAATCCAATCCTTTACAAACAGGCCTTTCACAGGGTCCACAGGAAGCTGTCACAACCTGCACTCTTTTCAATGTCCTCATCAATGACATAGCCGAATTGGTACAGACAGTCACGAGCATGCAATGACATAGCCGAATTGGTACAGACAGTCACGGGCATCAAGTGCAATAGCCAATTGGTACAGACAGTCACGGGCATCAAGTGTTTACTTTACTCCATCAATGATATAGCCGAATTGGTACAGACAGTCACCGTTCTACCACATGGAATTGGTACAGACAGTCACAGGCATCAATGACATAGTTGAATTGGTACAGACAGTCACGGGCATCAAGTGCTTACTTTACGCAGATGATCTGGTACTATGGTATTCCGCCCACAAGAAAAACGCTCAGGAGAAGACAGAAAGTGCCCTAAATTGTGCACTTAAACTACTAGCAAACTGGTGTGACAACAATGGAATTGTAATCAACACTGCAACAACTCCATTCCAAACTTATTCTTTGGCCCATCACAGCATAAACTCGCTTCTAAGGTACAAGGATACAACCATAGAAAAACCAATGATTTCACATATCTCTGAATGACTTTTGACACAAAGCAAACGTGGAAAAGTCACATTGCTAAAATAGCAGAACAAGTTTCCAATAGACTGAATGTACTGAAGCGTCTTGCTGGTAGCGTATGGGGCTGTGCGCGCTCAACTCTCAACACCACTTACAAGATGTTTATTCAGCCAATAATGTTTTATTGCTGTGAGCCTCTCATTACAGCCACAGAAGTGACTCCCAAACAACTCGAGAAGGCACACAACCAGGCATTATGACTAATTACTGGAGGGATAAAATTAACACCTATTGATGCAATGCTCCTAGTTACAGGAAGCACCACAATATGTTCCCTTATCAAAGAGAAGGCCTTGATACTGTATGAAAAGCTTCTGAGCATTCCCATGGATAAGTTCTTCAGCACCTATGAGAATAGACCAAGACATCTGAAAACGCAATCTGGTCTAATACAGAAAGCCATAGAACTGAAGAAAGAATTACAAATCGATGACAAACCAAAAAGCCTCTCTCTTCCCATGAACCCATTAGTAGACACTGATGTAGTGTGTTGCACCCAACTGCTCAACTTCTTCAGGAAATCAAACACCCCTCCAGAACAAATGCGCTCACTGGCCCTTGAGACAATCAATGTCAACTATCCTTAAGATCAATGGGTCCAAGTCTTCACTGATGGGTCATACATAGAAAACCAAGCAAATGTTGGTTCAGGTGTCTTTTCTGAACTCTTCTCTTTCTACACAGCAGTGGAACATAATAGATCCATCTCCGAAGGAGAAATAGAGGCCATTAGGATAGCACTATGGCAATTATGTTGCCTGGATACGAACATCACCAAATCGGTGATACTTTCAGTCTCAAAGTCAGCAATAAAATCAATTGGAAGTAGAGAGCCCCCCAAAACAGCTGAGGAATGTAGAAAACTCCATGAGCTGCTGAGAGAGAAAAACAAAACAGTGGTCCTACAATGGATTCCTGGTCACTGTGGAATTATAGGCAATGAGCTTGCTGACACACTTGCTAAGAAGGGGACAACGATTTTGCAATGCATGGACCGGCCGATGTCTTTCCACACTATGAAGGCCTTAATCAGAAGAGAATTCCAGACCTCAAGGTGCAACGAACTTAAAACTCGAACAAAGGAGAAACAGTGGACAGTGGCACTCTCCGACATACCCGACTGGCCAAGAATCGAAGCCGTTGCTGAGTTTAGACTACGTACCGGACGCGATTGCTTGGCAAAACACCTTCACAGATTGGGAGTACACACTCAACCCACATGCCNGCACTATGGCAATTATGTTGCCTGGATACGAACATCACCAAATCGGTGATACTTTCAGTCTCAAAGTCAGCAATAAAATCAATTGGAAGTAGAGAGCCCCCCAAAACAGCTGAGGAATGTAGAAAACTCCATGAGCTGCTGAGAGAGAAAAACAAAACAGTGGTCCTACAATGGATTCCTGGTCACTGTGGAATTATAGGCAATGAGCTTGCTGACACACTTGCTAAGAAGGGGACAACGATTTTGCAATGCATGGACCGGCCGATGTCTTTCCACACTATGAAGGCCTTAATCAGAAGAGAATTCCAGACCTCAAGGTGCAACGAACTTAAAACTCGAACAAAGGAGAAACAGTGGACAGTGGCACTCTCCGACATACCCGACTGGCCAAGAATCGAAGCCGTTGCTGAGTTTAGACTACGTACCGGACGCGATTGCTTGGCAAAACACCTTCACAGATTGGGAGTACACACTCAACCCACATGCCCTCTATGTAACCTACAGGAGGAAACGGAGAAGACCCACCTGATTCGGTGTCCAGCCCTTAAGGCAACGACGGAAAGCCAGAGATACTGGGAAGCAAGAAGACAGCTAATGAATTGCTATTAATTAACTGCTGTAAATGTACCCCCCACCCTTGAGGGAAGCTGAAGTCAAAGTTTAAGGGCTTATGATAAATATCACAAAGCCTGCCATTTGAAATAAATAAATTAATTAATTAATTGGGCAAATACCAGGGCACCTTTTAACCTGAGTTCTGGATTTTCATATACTCGCCGTGGTCCGAGAGTTTTCAAAATGTTAAACACCTTGAAAGACGTCAGCTAATGTGTTCAGGCACCATTATATTCCGTGGTGTAGGCAAACGGCTTTGCTTCTGGCAATCAACTCGAAATAGTTAATTTGACAGTCGAGATTCCTGCGTCATAATGGAAACCTTCATGCATCTTTGAGTGAATTTTGAAATTGCTTCTTAACACTAAATCTCTAAAACACATTTCTCCATAACAATAAGAAATAAATTGATCATTATGGAATGCAATTCAATTTTATTGGATATTCCATGTGCCCACAATTGAATTGTTGAAGGTAGTTCTTCCAAAATCTTCTGTCCTTTTGCAATAACTTGTGCATTCATTCCATCTTTCCTGACAATTTCGCAACGAATATTTAAAAATATTTATGATCCAATTGAAGTTCTGTTAGACAAACACTTGAACGACGCATTAATATTGCATTTCCTCATTACACCTCTGTCTGGTTTCTATCCACTTTAAGAAAATGTAGTATTATTTGTGAATTGCCCAATGGCGATGAAAGTTGAGTAACCCATTTTAGAAACAANGGTCTGGACGCCTTGAGGAACTGAAAAGAAAGAGGGACGCCCTTCGCAACACTGCTGATCAGACTGGAAGAACGGAAGAAGTACAAGCCTGGAGACGACAATCGGCTGTCCTAAGGCAAGCCATCTTACAAGCTAAACGCACTTCTTTCGACAAGTTCATCTCAAATATCAACTATCAAAGTGATAGCCAACGCACTTTCAAATTCATGGGTAACCTCCAAACCAACAAGGAAAGACTCAAGAAAGAACCAATACACTTAAAAAGCAAATGTGTTTAGGCACCATTATATTCCGTGGTGTAGGCAAACGGCTTTGCTTCTGGCAATCAACTCGAAATAGTTAATTTGACAGTCGAGATTCCTGCGTCATAATGGAAACCTTCATGCATCTTTGAGTGAATTTTGAAATTGCTTCTTAACACTAAATCTCTAAAACACATTTCTCCATAACAATAAGAAATAAATTGATCATTATGGAATGCAATTTTAAACTGAGCCTTCCGCAGACAATTCAATTTCATTGGATATTCCATGTGCCCACAATTGGAATTGTTGAAGGTAGTTCTTCCAAAATCTTCTGTCCTTTTGCCATAACTTGTGCATTCATTCCATCTTTCCTGACAATTTCGCAACGAATATTTAAAAATATTTATGATCCAATTGAAGTTCTGTTAGACAAACACTTGAACGACGCATTAATATTGCATTTCCTCATTACACCTCTGTCTGGTTTCTATCCACTTTAAGAAAATGTAGTATTATTTGTGAATTGCCCAATGGCGATGAAAGTTGAGTAACCCATTTTAGAAACAATAATCTTCGATTGTAATTTCAGCATATTAATGCTTACAATTGTAAGATTATTATATAAATTGAGCTTATTTCTGATCGGCCATACATTAGTTTAAATAAAGCGTAAATGTTATCGAAAATAATGCAAACAAATGTTCCACAATGTACTCAATTGAACTAGAATTTATTGATTGATTATATAAAGAGAGGAACGTTGAACAAAATTTTATCATCTGAGAATATTTAAAAAAATAAAGAAAATAAGAGGCGTTTTGAAGGTTGAATAGGTCCTTTGAACGCTGAAACCAATTGAGTTCCTTGTGATGAGTTGCTAATCGGCTATTAATTTTTCAAAATTCTAACAATATGTTAAGGAGAAAAGTTTTAATATTATGGAAAAGTTCGAATTATGATTGTAATTCTAGAAATGGTCGGCAATTTTGCTTGAAAGAGACACATTTTGCTCAATGGCATCTGAAAATTCAAATTCACTTGAATCGTTTTATTCATTTGCTAAACGCATTTTATGCCTGTAAGCTTATTTAGATAGCCCTGACAAGGTGACGCGAACGTTTTCATTTATTGCTTCTTAAAAGCGCACAGTGACAATGAACTCATATAAAAGGGATCCATAAATCCTTCACAAATATTAACAAAAGCAACAAATCCAATGATCGTCAGTCTATTCATTTTAACCTTTTTTGCAAATTAACGCCCAACTTGAAATAGACGGTTCAGTAGTGCCAGTTTCGACATGTTCAAGAGTCGTCTCAACTCCAAGGCGCCAAACAGTTGCAATGGCTTTTTCTACGCTCGGTGTTTCGGTAATATAGCTTTATTTCAATGGTATCATACACCATTGCCAATTTAGGATTTGTTTGTAGATTTGAAAGGCTTGGCAAAGTTGGTCACGATTGATGGGGGTGCTTGTGTCCTTGAAGGCTCCAAAATCAGAGAGCCATGTGATGTGCGACCTGGAAAAGAGTTCACTTTCAAA